TACTTATTCCGTGATTATTAATCGGTCGATTGTTCGCGAAATAATTAAAATACAGATGACGCAAGATATTCTTCGGATGCAAATATCATTTCAAATTACATTCAGGGCAACTTATTTATTTTTATCAACCCTTTGTGCGTTATTAAAAGCTGAAACATGTCTTAGATTATAATATTAATTATTTTGCGAGTGGTTATTGCATTAACAATGATTTCTAGATAAATGTCTTATGGCGGGTGGTGATTGGAGATGGATTTATAAATTTTCCAAAGATATTTCCGCCTAGTTGTATGGAATGACTCGAACTGGAATTCGAACATAGGCCTTCGCCATTCATTCGTCTCACATCCATCAGCACTTTTAAGTTAAAGGAGAAAATGAAATTCAATTCTAATCATTGCAAAAATTATCTCACGCCCTTTACTGTCAGCGAGGCTGCAGCTTGAATAGAAGAATGGAGCAAAGAAGATGGTATTACGCTAAATTTCCAATTAGTTTGAAAATCATCATTCGAAGATCAATGTTCTTTTTAAATTAAAAGGGGAAAATATGTAATGCGTCGCTGCATTTTGTTCTCTTTTGTCGAACTGCATCTGTCTACAAACCTAGGTGTGGCGCATAGAGATACTAGGCTACCAACATACATTTCTCGGACTGCTCAGTAGGGTCAAAGAAATTATATAGTTTGTTAGCAACGTATCTGTAGGATTTGCAAGTTGACTCAATATACGTTCTATCCGTCTTCGTAATTCCAGTTCGGATTTTAGTTTTCTATTTTCTTTGATTTTTCTCTTTCCCGAAAAGTAACTAGCCAAAGCTATAATTAATAGGAAACATTCTTCTAACTTGCATTATATTCTGCCTGCATTCATCCCTCTTAGAAGATGTTAATGATGTAGCGCAGACCGCGAACAACATGAATAAGGGTTAAGGAGTTCCTAGGTTGCTCTTACATCAATATCACCCTCTCGAAGTTGCCAATATAGTGCAAAGGAAAGGATAAAAATACAGTTTGTTAGCGGTTCTGTTGCAAGAATTCCTGGAAGGTGACACAGTACACTATCTATACCATTGCAGGGCTACATCCAAGTTTGATTAACAGTTGATTAAAACAGTTACAAGTGAGTAATGAGTTCTATCCTCACTGGGTGCCTCATACTTTCGATCTTGTGCCATATCTAAACTATCCTTAGAAAATCACCATATGAAGACCAAGATTGACAGAGGAATTTCATACAAGACGTCTCTAAAAATGGATGCTACTAACTCTTTAGATTCCCAAGTGCTTATTAAATACTTTAGTTATCGAATTATAAAACGTACGAGAAAGTATCGAAATATTACTCTGTGTTCAATGCGGCGGTAGAATGAATAGAAGAGCGGATAAAGAGGACTTTAGGATCAATATGAGTTGAAGTAAGCAGTAATGAAAAATGTTATATTCCGTGCTAATTGGAATATATACTTGACAAACACGGTGGATAAAATAAGTAATGGTTTATTGTAAAACCCAGTACAATAAGAAATAAGGTAACAGTTATGCACAAGGTCGACGCAAGTCAATCCAGTAGTGAGTGCTACTATTGGTAGGTAGGTAGTACTCGCGTAAGTCTGAGTCTCAACAGATCCCAGCTAGAAATATTTATCAGCCTCCCCGCGAGGTAGGATGTGGCACAAGACCGAATTTAATGTGGAGCAATCCAAAAATTCTCCGTTAACCCCGCATAAACGGGTTCGAGTCTGTCTACCTCCCGGGCGAGACTGCCCTTCGGCACAGCCTCGTCCGGGTTCCTCTCTGCCCGAATGCAGAGACCTCGATAAGAGCCGAGAGATACCAGCGAGACTCTGTAGTCCGTTGACTTACTGATACTTATAGTAGTTACTACCTATAGTGTAGTTACTCATGGGAGTGACAGGTTATTCCATTACATCAAAAATAAAAGAAACTAAATAAAATCATTTTAAGACCTGAGACTCATAAACAGTATTTTTTTAACTGTATTAGAATTTTTCGCCAAACAGAAGGCGGGAAAATTACCCTTTGATAATCTTTTTGTAAATCAGTTAAAATCGCCAACGTTTTGTATTATTTAGAAATGAATATGTTGATTTAATGAATGTTCCTGTACGATAAAGAAAATGAAACTCTAATCATTTTTATGATAATTCTTCCATAACTTTGAACAAGATTTTCTGTAGCAGCCTATTTGGACTTGATCATCATTAAATATAACTTTTAAGTCATGTAGTTATAAATCTACTCGTTACTGTCTTCTAGCTATTTACATATCGTAATGAAGTTTAAGTATCTGGGAAGCATTTTACTATATGACGGCACCTTGTCGGCTGGGGCTTCAGAATACACCGACTGCACCTCTGCAGAGGGGTAAGACATCACCCCAATTAGGCGTCCTGGGTATGACGATAGATTCCATCCGGCAGCAAAGCCACTAATCGGAAGGTTTTGACGAGCGTGGAACCACGTCTTGATACATTAAAAAAAAATTCCAGCAATACTGTTTTGGAAAAAAATTACCAGCAACATATTTTTGGAAAAAAAATTACCAGCAATACATTTTTGGAAAAAAAAAAAATTACCAGCAATACATTTGACTCTCGACAAAAAAAAACTCTTTACGAAAATATGTCAATGAAACCTAATGTACAAACTGATTTCTTACGAAGAATACATATTCTATTTATATGAAGCTATCCTAAAAATCGTGTCGGCATTAAATAACTCATTGAGGTTGATATGCCGTAACACAAAATAAACCAAACCAAACCAAACCAGATGACGTTACATCAAAATTCGAAGGCGCATTACAATATCAAACGATGTCTTCCAAAAACCAGACAAAATATTAAGAAACAGAAAAAAATCATTAAAAAAGAAAATAATGCTTAACTCCTATGTAATGCCTTCTTACTATATGACATTGAGTGCTGGATAATCTCCTTACAGACAAAAAGACGCACGGCAACAGAGACGGGGTTCTACAGAAGGATGCTGAGAATACTATAGACAAATCATGTGAGCAACGAGTAAGCTTGAAGGAAAATGGTAAAAAAGTACACTTATATTTAGAATCAGAAAGACATAGTTAAAACTGTTAGGAATAATTAATGAGGAAAAAAGGTTTGGAAAATTTAACACGCACAGACATACTGAAGATAATGAGAACCGAAGGGAAACAGTGAGTAGTCTACCTACCGGGCCTGTGTAAATGGCTGGCTAGACAGGGAATGGGAGTGATAATAAAGTTACAAACACTGCTCAGAGCTATAAAGGATAGGAAGTTGTAGAGAGCCATCATCGCCTACATACCAAACGAATATGATACACAGACGAAAAAAATCTATTTGCTAGCATTATTTATGACGCTGAAAAGATAAATGCTTATCTTTATGTCCAGAAATTTAGCGTGAGCATATAAATGCAAAAAGACAAAAGCATTTGGTAATGTAAGACAAGAAGTGTTACTTGAAATACCAGGAAATCTTCAATTGGAAAGATATTCGAGTAATCCGTAACCTAAACTGGGAACAACCAACCTGCATCCGAATTTATGAAGAATTCAGTGAATATAACAAAAATAGAAACAGGAGTAAAAGAAGGATGCGTTTCTCCCCAGGTTTATCCAAGCTATATGGTGAGACCTTCTTGAGATAACTGGAGGGTCTGTCAAGATTTATTATCGGCGAGCATAATCTTGACAACATACGACACACGGATGACACTGTGGGGAAGAAAACTGAAAGAAACCTTCCATAAATTAGTGAAGGAAGGCAAGAAATGAATAGCTATCAATTGTAAGAAAACATCATAGTTGTCCGAAAAAAACTTACAGTTTAGGATGTGAGTTACGTAATGGCAACATCGAAATGAAGCAGGTAAAGAGATTTAAAAATCTGGGTACTGCAGAAAATGACGTTGAAATTCGTAGAAAGATAGAGTTAAAGATAGAAAGAGATATCTCCCTGAAACGAAGAAATGTATTAAGATAGCAAAATATCGTTAGAAACAAAAAATACAGTGGTAAATTACTATGTAATATCTAATCTTCTATCTGACAGTGAATGCTGGATAAGTTACTCAGAGATATAAAAGACTTGGCGTGATTTCGTTATACCAACGAATGCTGAGAATACAAGGGGAGGATATTTGAGTAACGAGGAAGGCTTAAGGAAAATAGGAACTTCAATGAAACTTATGATTCAATAGTAATCAAAATTAGTTAAAATTTTTGAGACCCATAATGACAATTGACTATTCTCAGAACATATTAAAGGCAAGAGAAGGATTGATTGTTTTTTTTTACAGATTATCAACATTTTATGAGTTATTTAATGTCGAAACATATACTGGATTGTGAGAAACATTCTTGTCAGTAAATATTGCATTAACACATTTTTGACAATAACAAATCTTGCTATTCAACCGACAGCCGGGAGGAATTCATATTTTCCCAACTGTATTTGTGCATAACGGAATATTACAAAACCGGCTGAAATTCGAAATCGGCTTTCCGACTTTTCATTCTAGTAGCTATCTATTATACCACCGACACATCTCTAAATGCAAGTGAAGCAGCGTGAAACTGCGAGTAATCTAATTAACTACTTTGCATGGATTTATGTAAAGGTTAAAACATTACTTAGATCACCAAAAGACAGGAATCTGTGGAGAATCGTGATCACACACGCATCTAAAACATTGGCACAAAGAAAGAAGTAATTGTGATCAAACCCACTACATTAACAGGACCAGCTTCTATTCAAGTAGTTATGGTAGATATCCATCTCATGACGTTTTGCTTTGCCGACATTGTTACAAACTCTCTAGGCTAGCTGATGTCTAAGTACTGAACAAAGTTGCTTAACTTCAGTGATTAAAAGTAAACCGATGCTTTCAGCGTAGCTTAACCATAAGCGGTCACCTGATTTTGTCGCTATTTTTACGACTATATTCGTCGTCTGTCTCCTATAGAGGCTTTCATATGACATCCGCTCTTGCTACGTCATTCGGTGTGTCGTCTGCTTACTTTTATCTGGCGTATTTCCGGTTCAATGTAACTATTTCTGCTTCACCCCGCTCTCTCTCTCTTCGATTCACTTTTGAATTCCCTAAATTAAACTACTCCAACTTTCTGCATAACAACATGTCTCCAAATACGTTATTTGAATTCTTGAAAGTAAAATACTAAAAAGACAGCAGAGGGAAATGGTCTTGAAAAACCTACTTCCTGTCTAGACAGGTGGTCTTTGCTTGAAAAGAATAAATAGATCTATCTAAAATGAAAAATACAAGAAAAAATTAGAGAAACAAATACACCCAAAGAATTAATTTGAAAAAATATAATTTCTCGAAAATATCAGATATTTCCTGTCACATAATATTTCGTAAATATCAGAAAAAAACATTATCTATACATATGCTATTCGGATTTTAGAGACTAATGATCATTTGATGTGTCTATATTTAGAGATCTATACAAGAACCTCTTTGTTGTAGAAAAGATTTCTTTTTGCAATGGAACTATTGTCTGGCGCTCAGTGTTTAACCTACATTAAGACGTTGAGTAAAGTTGGTCTTGTCACGCTGTGATTGGCCGTATAATAGTGAAATATTCTCGCGTAAATATTTGCTCGGAATTGTTTGTTAGTATTCGGATGTTGAAAAAAAATCGCTCAGTGATAAAAGGCTTGTGAACATACATATATCGTCATCAGACAGTGATTAAAAATGATCGATCGTCTTGTGAAGAAAGAAAGGAAAGAAGTTTTTTCCTACATTTAATAAAGTTTTCTGTATTTTTTTAAAAAGTTCTGTTACGACACTGGCTTGAAACAGGAATTTCATTGGCATATATCTTTAATAACAGGATACAAAAATACTATTTTAGCTGTACAAATAATGCAGTAATATACACGCCAAATATTCGGTTGAGTCATCAGTAATTTCCGCTTTTTGGAACCTGTTGCAATGCGTATATTACTTAGTTGGGTGAAGTCAGTCTTAGAGTAAGTCCAGCTGCAAATTACTACTGTATTTACTCAGACGACCGCTAAATACGGCTTTTGTTGTCTCGGTATTTACCCAAGACTCCAAACAAGGCAGGATGTGGTACTAGACCGTTTTTTAACGTGGGGCGATTCCAGGCCCGTAACCTCAGGCAAAAATTGCGCGTAGACCCCGTATACACGGGGCCGGGTAGCTGTCTACCTCCCCAGATGAGACTCTGCTTTTCGTTTGGGTTCCTCTTTGTCCGAAGGCAGAGAGGTCGACAAGTAGAGCACCAGCAGACAGAGTTTTGCTGTCGAGATTTATTGTATATCAAATACAATTGTGGCACAAGGCCTAAATGGAGGAATGTGTTGAAACTGGACGCCACTATCTTATATCTAACTAATCCGATTCACGACCCATTCATTCATTACAATTTGCACATCCACCACAAAAACTCATCCATCACACATACAATCCTCCATATACCACAATACTGCATAATCTCAGTGAACATAGAAAAACACCCCATGACATAAAAATTTAATGACCATAATATTCTATACATAAAAATCAGTAAATGGTACACAGTGAGCGGGGAAGGGGGATGACCCCCCCCAAAAAAAAACAAAAAGAAAAAAAAACAACGGAATACAAAGCGGAATGTGGGACAAGGCCGGTTTGACGTGTTTTTTTTTTCCGAGCCTGTAAACCCAGGCAAAAACTCCACGTAAACCCGGCAGTAACGGAGTTGGGTTTGTCTACCTCCTCATAGCCTCGTCTGGGTTCCTCTTTGTCCGGAGGTAGAGAGGTCGACAAGTAGAGAGCACCAACAAAAACAAGATTTTGTTGTCCCCCGATAGTCGCACGTTCCATTCTCACATTTATACACGTGTGGGCGAGTCCACTTCGTCTCTCGGTATACAAGAGGACAAACTGTAATTACGAATGTATTATTCTAATTTTTTAATCATTTCATTAATTCTAATCATTTCATTAATTCTACTGAGACACAATGGATTACTGGAAGTGAAAGTGATGAGAAGGCTTTATTGAGGAGAAAGAACAATAAAAGACAATAATTCAGGAAGGCAAAAGAATGTGATTTGCTTTGGATTTGATTTTTTGAAGCCGAGAATCAAGAAACCGGAAGAAAATTCCATAGGCGAGAAAAGAAACTATTAGGTTAGTACAAAAATAATGACGCAATAATGTCGTTTTTTGACGTTAAAAATTACGTCAAAAACGACATTATTACGTCATTATTTTTGCACCAACCTAATATTTGAATAGAACTTACGGTTAGATCTTTAGATATTTCAACGTTAAAATGATGAAATCTACTTGCCTATCTAGTAATACGTTTAAATCCGCGCGTTCGACGTACCAAGGAGGAGAGACAATTAGAAGAATTGCCATGAAAATATTTCTAGAAAAAGCACAGTGAGAATGTGGTGTAGAGATTTTAGAAGGAACTGGAAACGCGATCCAAAACAGGGAAAAAGGTTTGAATCTTTACTCCTGTTCAAACGACCGGTGATGAGCGTGAACCCGACGATAGGCGAACCTTTCTAACTGAGAAAACAATAAAAATGTAACTAAAGTAAAAAGTACGTATAAAAAGTAATAGATACAAAATAATTTAAACTAAATAAAAATGAAAGTTCAAGTTTATCGCAGTTGATTTACATGTTTTTCTTATATCTTATTCTTGTTAGTTTTTATCAAAACAATAAAAAGGAAGAAAGTATTGTTAAAACGAATTATGATGACAAAATATTTCAAATAAAAATTAAAAAATATGCCAGTTCATAAAGATGTACATAGCGTAACATTCAGTACCAGGGAAAGAGTTTTCGACTCTTAAAAAAGCGTATATAGACGTCTACACTAGGGAAGGGGATAACATTTGTAAATCTTTACTAACTGTTATTTTAAGAATAGATATGAAACTTCGCGTCGTTTAGAGAGAAAATATTAACCCATTGGGAATAGTACCTATTGCTACTTGTGTATATCGTAGACACTCTGAATTAGACGGGGAGATGCAAGGCGACCCTCTACAATAAAAAGAGTCAGTTCACATAAGCCAGTGTAGATACAGTGTTTTAAAGCAAACCACCAATCATTCTGTTTTCTTACATTTAATATTTATCCCTTTGTTTTTGCTTTTCTTTAGTAATGGCTGATAGTTGTTTCAGTCTGTCATCAACACAGTGTCATCCGCGTATCTTGTGTTGTTAATATTATAAGAATAAATCCTGGTAGGTTTTCTAGTTCTTATAGGATTATCACGCTGTATAGATTAAATAAATCCCATCAAAAACGCCTTTGTTTTTCTCCTCTTTCTATCTATGCTTATAACATACATATAGAATGAAGGCAAGGGATAGATTGAGGAATCGGAGAGCTGAGTTCGAAATCCAGTCGAGTTCATTGCATTCATTTACGTGTTAATACTGCTTGGAGATATATGAATTCGTCTCTTCTCCTACAGGTATGGTCAAACAGACTAGGTCCTATAACATTGGTGATTAGTATAAGAGAAAGAAAAACTCTGAATTAAAATCAGACTGAAGATGGTTGGTCTCCGTCTGGTTATCTTGTCCAAGACACACTACTTCTAATATGGCTGCAGTACATGCCGTTTTCCTACGACCCTAATGGGTTACGAGACTTGTGATCGTGATGTAAAACGAATCGAGTTTTCTCAGTCATTGGCGTGTTTATCTAGAAATAAATACGCTTAAATTAACCTTCATCCCCGCCGTGCGTCAACGGCTTAGAGGTAGAGTCTCTGACTGATTCAGCCGGGTTTCGATCTTAGCTCGAGGAAACTGGATGTCTAGCCACACTGATGAACTGTGATACAGCGTAACAGTCTATCTGTGGATGATATATATATATATATATATATATATATATATATATATATATAAATAAATTAAATTTGTACACATCTAATTATCAGCAGATATATATCCGGGGTAAATATATATATATATATATATATATATATATATATATATATATATATATATATATATATATATATATATATATATATATATATATATACCGGTGTAAATTGTTCAAATGTTGTGAAACACGATAATTGTCCATCCCAAAAAACAATTAATATCTAAAAAAATACTAAACTAATTGAGTTTCCTTTTTACACGTTTTCAGTCATCTTGTCACCATTTGTCGTAAGAACTACTGGAAGTTATGCAGCTAGAATCGTTTTGTGTCAGTCCCACTATATCTTCCCAACAAAGCAATGGTGAGAAGAAAAAGTTCATTCGGGCCTTCAATAATCGTACGAACCCCTCATACTCTGGCTTCCGTCTTCAAAATCCATTCAACAACCATCAAGGGAAAGGTGAATAAATTTTAAAAAAAGAGAGAAGTAGAGAGGAAAACTGTCATAACGGCAAGAGGGATCATCATTAGAGCTAAATGCATTGTTATTGTTCAGAGTCCAATAGTGTTATAAAAATCTCGGAGAATTCCAGTAAGATATCTTTAATCATTTCTAAGATACAACGGTTCAAATTTTAATCTAACAGTTGGACATTTTTGCTGTTACAGAATTTGGACAATTTTGCTGTTACATTCAGTATACTCATATAACGAAGCGGACTGAAAAGGTCGTTTTTATCTCTCTCTCTCTTCTCTCTCTCTCTCTCTCTATATATATATATATATGATGAATAGAATATATTTAATTTTTACATTAATAAAATGTGTTTTTGATGGGACTAAATGTAGAGGAGCAAAATAAAAATGAGAGAGAGAGAGAGAAAGAGACAGACAGACAGAGATAAAACTAAAAAAATAAAACTATATGAACGGTAAAAATGTGTTTATTTTCAGAATTAAAAGGACCCTTAAAACTAATTTGAAACAATTTCGAGTATTTATCTCTCTAATTCGAGTGGGCAACTCAAAAAGCATGATCTAAAAGAACATCTTTTTGTTTATAGACACTACTATCAAATGTAATGAAGGAACCCCAAAATTCTATTAGTCTTGGGGCATCTTAAGACCTAAATCCGGCCCTGCTTATTCTTATTACCAGAAAACGACAGCTGACATATCTAGGACACATAATGAGGAAAGTGGGATTGTAGAATTTGATACTCACGTGAGATATCGAAGACAAGCTTGATAGAAGGAAACAGTGAGTAACTTAATTAACGAGTTTGTGTAAAATGGATAGCAGAACGAGTGGGAGGGATGACGAAATGACATGAGAGCCACAAAGGATAGGAAGTTGCGGAAAGCCGTGATCACCTACGTTTTAAAGGGACACAGCAGGTAGAAGAAGCTGGACTATTTATTCTACTGCAATGAACTCTGGTACATTTAGTATTGGAGGCACGTGTTACAAATTTGTATCGAACTTTCGAGTGCTTTTGTGCATAAATGTTTGATAATTCAATCAAACACATATTGATTTCGTCTGAAATTGCGCAGCACATTCAGCAAATATTGAAAAGCCATAGTATAAGTTTTTTAATTGCAAATAAAAACGTATCTGAATTGGATCTCAGTTCTTTGTACCTAAATTTTTGATTTATTATTCTAATGTCTGATATGATACAGGATTACCAGATTGTAAGATCTTTGAATGTTCAGCGCTAATAAATTTTTAATATTTCGTTACTTTTTGAACTGCTTTTAAAAAATAACCCAGACTAAATTGAACTATCAATGAGAAGAAAGTCAGCTGAAAATGAAATAATTCTGAGCCTTCAAGTGTAGCTCTTTTAACCACTTGTAGTTCAAACAGGAAACTCTGATATGACGTATGTTTATTTTTCCGTATTACACTATTTAATACCTACGTGAAATTCCGTATTAATTATAAAAATATAAATCTGTTAATAATTATACTTGTTTTTAAAACCCAAAATTAATTATATTTTTTAATAATTTAATAAAGGTAGATATTTTTAAAATAATCAGTTTTTAAAAACCCAGTATTACTTTAAGATTAAAAAAGCCCATTATTGATTTAAAAATTTTAAAATCTTTATTATTAACTATAGCTTTTTAAAAATCTGATATTAATTATACTTTTTTTATTAAATGATATTAATTATAGGATTTTAAAAAGAATTTTGATATTAATTATAGTTTCTTTAAAAAATATGATATTAATTTTAGGTTTTTAAAATAAAATAAAATTACAAATTTGAAAAAAACGGTATTACATTACAGATTTTAAAAAATCCTATATTAATTATAGTTTTTTTTCTAAAAAGCCGGTGTAAATTATAGACTTTTATAAAAATCCGATATTTAATATTTTTATAAGAAGAATTTCGGAAAAAAAAAGATTTTAGAATCCGTTAATGCTAACTGTCCTAAAATATGAAGGCGGGTATTAAAGGTATAACATTTCTGCAGGTACGTTTTCCTTACTTCTTCGTGTCTATGGTACATCTGGTAATATTTGAATAACATCTATCTTAAAGCTTCCATTATTCTAATTAGAACAATTCAGTAGAGCCAAGTATCAAAGACTTATTTTAACACGGAAAGTATTTAATAAAACTGAAAAAAAAAATAATCACAGGTTATTTTAAAATATATAGCCTGAATTGTTTCCAGACTCAATAAGTAATTTCTATTGGAACATTCAGAGTTGAGAAACAGACTGTAGGGGAGTCAAAGATGGCCAGAATCATTGCACACTGTTGGAGAAGGGGTATTCGAAAGGTGTTAAACGCATGCCGGAGAAGTTCACGGCTCAAGGTGGATTGAGACATGCAAGATCTGGCAAACCTCTTGTTGCTTCGGGCTGTTGAATGTTTGATTTTATAGCTATATCTATCTATCTATCTATCTATCTATCTATCTATCTATCTATCTATCTATCTTATAGCTATATCTATCTATCTATCTATCTATCTATCTAATAGCTATATCTATCTATCTATCTATCTATCTATCTATCTATCTATCTTATAGCTATATCTATCTATCTATCTATCTATCTATCTATCTATCTAATCGCTATATCTATCTATCTATCTATCTATCTATCTATCTATCTATCTATCTATCTTATAGCTATATCTATCTATCTATCTATCTTATCTATCTATCTATTTTATATCTATATCTATCTATCTATCTATCTATCTATTTTATAGCTATATCTATCTATCTATCTATCTATATAAGAATCGTCATAGTTATAATCTTTAAGTTCTTTAGCATTTATTTTTAAAACCAGTGCTCGATGACGAGTAGAGCATAATATTATAAAATTATTTACACTATGTATTCATCGCGACACAGAAATTACTATTTTCGAACTGAAAACTAAACTTTAAATTGAACATAAAATTAAAGTTTTTGTTCCATCCTCAAACGATGTTGATATACATATTTTAAAAAAATATATATATATATATATATATATATATATATATATATATATATATATATATATATATATATATATAATGTATGTATGTATGTATTTATATAGTTTGCATCCCGCTATTAAGCACTTTCACCCAGATATACCTTAAAACTGTATGTGTACTACGCACAAATAGGACCACACACATATTGTGTGATATAACAGTATATATTTCATTGTTAGATTTCAGTCTCTTTCGTAAAAGTTTGAAATGTGTCCATGAATATGGTATCTTCTGTTGATACATATATCAACTTTCACTAAAGAAGAAAAGGTCCTTAAAAAACCGTATACACAGACTCTGCGTCCACAAATAAAATAATTATTATGCCGTTTTCATTGCGAAGTGATTTGTTCCAGTTTTTGTCTGAGTTAGTCTCACGTCTCTTTCCCACTGAAACTGTTTGCATCCATTGTCATCATGTTTATCTATATTACGTCCAAGTTGTGCGGCTGGGGGGCAACGATGCCATGAAATGACACTTGCTTTTTACTTAACTTGGCTATTGTCCAGTTCAAGAAGTTCTTTATCTTGACCAACATCTTCTAACAAAAACAATAGCATTCTAATAGAAAGCACTGCTAAAGTGTATTACCCGTCTGTGGTCTTGGCACGTGAGTGACAGGGGATGGTCTATATATAAGTTCAGCTTTTGTCCGTTAACAATAGTTTTTTTCTGTAGCTGCGATGATGACTGTATACAATGCTTTTACATTCTCGTATGGTTAGCTTTACTTTTTTACCACTTTTTTCTTTTTCCGACAAGTACCTTTAGAATAGAAATGCTTTCCACGAGGCACATTGAATAAAACGTAATATAATAGACACTTATGGATCTTTAAATTAATTTTATTATGAAGAAACATGAAAATGATTTATAAAAATTTAACAGAAATAAATAAAACAAAAATTCTTGTAGAAAGAACTTACATTAATTATATATATTTTTTGCACATGTACGTCTATTGATATATATATATATATATATATATATATATATATATATATATATATATATATATATATATATATATATTAGCTTAAAAGGTGCCTTGTTGGGCGACATTTAAGCTAGCTCCTGTACGGAGTGGGGTTCTTGTTTGAACCTTCGGCTTGTTCAGGAGTTTGGTAGTCCCTAGGTCTTTTCATATTCTCAGCACTGGAAGCTTTCCTAGCTGCCGTTGCATCAGGGTTTTCATTTGAACACGACTTTCTTTTCCTCGCTGCTGCCTTGCCTCTTTTGATTAAAATCTTGTCCTCTGTTGGCGGAGATTTCTTTTTGCAATTCATACTGCTGTCGTATGCGATAGGCAGCAATAAATTACAGGAGAACACAAAATTGATCGCTGCATCTAAGTATTGCATTAATATTGAAGTTTTCATTTTTAAATGGCCAACGATAATTCTTCTGCAGCAACTTAATTTAAAAAACAATTTGATGTGCGTAGGTCCTTAGTTTCCGCATAAACAATTATTCTTATTTCATGGGTGACTTTCGCTCGATTTCGCAATTAATTTCGATTATTCCCAAATTTATTTCCAATTTATAAAAATTGTTATCGTACAAAAAACTCGTCGCAAAGAGTCACGTACAAAAATCCCTGAAAACAATTGCAGTAATGAAAACTTAATGATCCAAAATTTCTGTAACATGAGCTATTGAATGTTAGAGAGTTGTGTCCCTTTAAGTGAAAAAAGTGTGACACTGTGAAATTTGCATTTAATACACACACACACACACACACACATATATATATATATATATATATATATATATATATATATATATATATATATATATATATATATATGCATACTAGATGATCCTTAAAAGTACGTTTGGTTTGTTTTTTTTTTACGGCATATCAAACTCAATGGGTCATTTAATGCCAACAAATTTTTTTCTGGTAATATTTTTCTTTTGTCAAAAAATATATTTCTCTTAATATTTGTTCCTCAAAAATGTATATGGTAATATTATTTTTCAAAAAACATATTGGTAATATTTTTTTCAAAAACATATTGCTGGTAATATTTTTTCTTCAAAAACTTATTTCTGGTAATAATTTTATAAAGTATTTCTGGTATTAAAACCTATTTTTACAATTTTATAATGCTTTTTAACCCAGTTTCTAACAAGCGCTACAACCCCGGGTCAGGGTGAACCTGGGAACAACAGCAATTAAGAGGTGATTCCACGCTTCTCAAAGCCTTTTGATTAGAGGCCTTGCTGGTCGACGTAGTTTATCGTCTTACTCTGGACGTGGATGTAGTTTATCGTCATACCCAGGACGCGGATGTAGTCTCAGTTTCGGGGCTAACTATTTGCCCATAGCTGGGACCCTAACAGGTGCTACTACTCCGGGTCAGGGTAGACCTGGGAATATCAGCAATTAAGAGGTGGTTCCACGCTCCCCAAAACCTCCTGATCAGAGGTCTTGCTGCTGGGCGTAATTTATCGTCATACCCAGGACGCGGATGTTTTTTTATCGTCATACCCAGGATGGCCTTAAAAGTACGATAGTATATATATATATATATATATATATATATATATATATATATATATATATATATATAATATCAAATCCGTAAATGGTAAGAATCATCCAAGTAGGTCTTTATAATATGAAATATTAAAAAGATAGAACCAGTTTTGACAGCATTGCACTCTTTTTTCTTCCCCCCACTCCTCTCTTCAATAATGTAAATCCCCAGTAATATTTTTCCTGGTCAAGTAAATTAGACATTTACTTCCTTTTCACTTGTGATTTAATTTTAAAATAATTTATAATAAATGGTCTGGATTAATTTAAACCATTTTGTAATTTCGGTCTGATGAGGCAGATATTAAAAACTGTCGATATAAAAGCTATTACTGAATTCTTCGATGATGCGTTAAGATTTTTTCGTCTTGATGCACACACATACACACATTATATATATATATATATATATATATATATATATATATATATATATATATATATGTAACTATACTCGTTTCGGAAAATCCTCGAATTTTTGATTTGCCAATAATCAAATCAATCTCGAGAGAAAAAAGTTTTAAAAAGAAAGAGCTAGAAAACATGAAAAAAGTCTGTCGAAAAAATCGTGGTAAAAATATATATATATATATATATATATATATATATATATATATATATATATATATATTACTGAGAAATATATAGTTTAGTCGCTTGAAGATCGCGAGAACGTGAAATTTGAGTAGCAGCTTGAGTTGTCCTCCGTTGAGTGTTAACATTGTGAAGCGGTTTATGCTATGTCGAGAAATAGTCTACGCGTTGAGCAGTTTTGTCCTTACTGCGAACGTAGGTATTTGTGTTTTGTTCTTTTTTCTTTTCTTTTCTCTTTCTTTGCTCCGGATTTTTTCTTGTTTTAGGTCTTTTGGCAAGTTATCTTTTTGGAAAACCGACATTTTATATATATATATATATGAGGTATAGTAACTATTTACATTATTTAAATTGTTCGGATTGTTGTCCTTATCTTTACTTTCACAATCACGTCGTTTCAGGTGATATTTGTTGGAATTTCGAATTTTCTATACAACACTAAAACTCATATATCCAAACGCATAGTACATGGAGTTAGAAAAATCTATCCCTGTGAATAGAATAATTGTTGCAATTCCTCGTACCACGCCTTTGGATGTCTTAGTTGTGTTGTAAAGGAAATTGCTGCCATGTCTCATTATGTTAACATTTTCATCCGAAACCCTAATATTATCACTAAGTATTAATATTATATAGTAAGATTTTACAGTATATAAATTTATCCGATGATGCAATATTGTTTTATTTCAATTTATGAATGTATATGCAAATGTACGTAGTGAGGTATTGTGGAGTAATGGATAGCGTCTAGGATTGAGGAATGGGAGAGCTGAGTTCGAATTCCAGTCGAATCCATTGCATTCACTTACGTGGTAATACCCTTGAGAAAGGTATGCGTCCTCTTCTTATGGGTAAATAGTAGAATAGACCGTGTTCTGTAGCCTTGGATGTCAACTGGTTTACCGCAGGAAGAAATGGTAACTTAATGCGGGAAAAAATTCTGCTTCGTCAGTCACGTATCGGAAGATACATGATCACCTAAGCGTGTATCACGCATGTCATATAACTGATATGCAGACGAATTTGGATATAAATTTGAATAGTATGCTCTGTATTTTTATTTGGTTTATTTGGTGACTGTTTGTGAATAGTAGTGGAAGAGGATTGATCAAGACAAGGATGATACGATAGGCATGAAATGCCAAAGTTTTCTTCTCTAATATGTAACAATTAACAATTCTCAGCACTGATCTCTAAAGAATCCGACTCTTTCTGGTATAATCTATAAGAGACAGATCAAACCAAAAATGGTGTATTGCTATCATATCTGAAACGATAAATCAATATCGTATTCTAAATTTATTTTAGAATTAAACCAGATTTTACTGTGGGCATTAACTGGTTAAATAATTAAATGGTAGTTACACATAAAATAAGAGGGGTAGACAAAACGTCTCGCCGTTGAGCAATATTTGTTCAGTCAACAGTTAAGACACTACTATTATTACACTGGTAAATTCGATTTCAATATGGCGCCCCACATTTCTGGTTTTATGTCATACTAAATCTAACAACGGTCAATGGAAAGTGACAATATTGTCTAAAGAGAATAAAAATAATAATGGAAATAAATCAAGAAACGTTACAGATTAGCAAAACGATTGATTCGTTTTTTACGGCTTATCAACTCTTGGCAGGTTATTTAATGCCAGAAAATATTTTTAGATTGTAGGAATTTTTATTTTAAAGATAATAATGGTTTAGTGATAAAAGTCTTAATTATTAACTCTTTGCTGGAAGCAGAACATATGGATTCATAACTTTCCCAAGAGTAGTTCCCGTAAATCGATATAACGAACCCAATGGGAATTGGAACTCGTCCCTGCGATTAACTATTCTGAGCCATTATCCATTATACGAACGGCACATCCGAGGTTACAGTACTTGGCATTCCCAAGGGGTAACCCTTCCAGGTACTGACCCGGCTCGACCTTGCTTAACTTCGGGAACTGATCGTTCAACGTCATGTGGCGGTAAGCCATTATTGGCCGATAGAAAGAAAGTAATGAGAGAAAGTTGAAAAATAAAAAAGCGAGGAGAAAATATGGAAGAATAAGAGAAGAGAGAGAGAGAGAGCTATACAGATATTTTGCAATTGAAAGCCGAATACAAAATATTTGTGTCATGCCGGTTGACATGCGGATGTCACATCGAATCAGTTTGCGATCATATCTTCTCTCATTAACGCTACTTCACCTGGCTTTAGTTGGGTGAATAGGTGTCTCAAGCACTTATCTTTCGTCCAGAGTAATATGAACTGGTGCATACAAATTTGCGTATGTGTTCACCAAATGTCCACTTTAATTTTATCATTCACTCATTATAATTTAAATTTTTTC